CCTCCGCCCGACACGCCACTACCAACCAAAACAATAACAGACTGGCAACGACTCGAGAAATCTCTCGAATCGACCGACACACCGATACTAAACCGTATTCCCGACGTCATAGAGTCCACCGAGGACACTCTCATTGCGATCGACTCGCTTACTAACCACCTGCAGTCGGCAGTCAAGGACTGCTCCAGGGAGGTACCGGCGACGGACGACCGTCGCTGGCAGCTCCCCGATGACGTAAGGAGGTTAATAAGCGATAAGAACGCAGCCACTAGAGCGTACGATCGCTACCCCTCCGAACCGAACCGGGTGCGCCTGCGAGCCTTACAGCGTAGCGTTAAGGAGCGCATCGCGCAGATCCGGGACGGCCGGTGGGGCAAGCTCCTAGAAGAGATAACGCCATGCCACACCGCGTACTGGCGCATAGCGAAATCTCTCAAAACCGACCAACAGACAAACGACATGCCCCCGCTAGTCCGACTCGACAACACTATAGCCTTCTTCGACGAAGACAAGGCTGAGTGTCTAGCGTCCAACTTAGAAGCCCAATGCTCCCCCAGCACGCTCCCAGTCGAGGCAGGTCATCTCGAGAAGATAGACACCGAAGTCGAACGCATCGCGTCCACCCCGCCCACCAAATCCCTCTCACCAGTCACGCTTGATGAGGTCAAAACGCTAGTTAAACAACTACCTATCAAAAAATCACCCGGCTCAGACGGCATATCGAATAGATTAGTCAAAAGTCTGCCATCCCAACTTTTGTTATTACTCGTCGCTATTTTTAACGCGGCGCTGTCCAACGCTATATTTCCAGACAGCTGGAAAGAAGCCGTGGTCATTGGCATCCCCAAGCCCGGTAAAAATAAATCCGACCCGTCCAGTTATCGTCCTATCAGCCTCCTCAAGGCTATAGGCAAGCTGTACGAGCGAATCCTCCTCGCCCGCCTAAAGGAGTTTATATACTCCAAAGGCCTGCTCATCAATGAGCAGTTTGGCTTCCGAGCCAAACACTCATGCGTCCATCAAGTGCACCGCATCACGGAGCACATTCACAAAAACACTCTGTACTTCGCCACCAAGTCCCCCAAAGGCGGTACAGGCGTCCTATTTTTCGATGTGGCTAAGGCTTTCGATAAAGTCTGGCACAACGGCTTGATTTACAAGCTTCATCAGTTAGGTGTCCCCGACAGGCTAGTACTCATTGTACGAGATTTCCTGTCGAATCGCTCTTATCGCTACCGTATAAACGGAGCGTTATCCGACCCGCACCCCATACGAGCCGGCGTCCCTCAGGGCGCCGTCCTCTCTCCGATGCTCTACTCGTTGTACACCAACGACATCCCCAAATTCTCCGACTTAAAAGTCGAAATATCGCTGTTTGCCGATGACACGGCTCTCTTTACATCCGCCAAGTCCCGTGCGACAATAGCCAGACGGCTTCAGAAAGCCGTAACGATACTGGGCGAATGGTTCCGCCGGTGGCGCATAGAAGTCAATCCCGAAAAAAGTGCAGCAGTGTACTTTAGCAGGGAATTCGACTCTATGAATCACCCGATCGAACTATTCGGCCAAAACATCCCGTGGGTTTCGAAAACGAAATATCTCGGCGTCACCCTAGATAGGAAACTAACGTTTCGTCCTCACATCAAGCGTGTCCGCGACCGAGCCGCCTTTATACTAGGGCGACTCTATCCTTTTATTAACAAGCACAGTAAAATGTCGCTTCGCAACAAGCTGACATTATACAAGGCTTGCATCCGTCCCATCATGACCTACGCTAGTCCCGTATTCGCCCACATACCCTACTGCTTAATCAACAGACTGCAGGTCATTCAGAATAGGTTTCTGCGTCGAGCCACCGGTGCGCCGTGGTTCGTTCGCAGCGTAGATCTCCACCGCGATCTTAATCTGCCCTCCATCAAGCAGTTTATGAAGGAAGCGTCTCGACGCTACTTCGACTCTGCCCAATCCCACCCTAATCCGCTTATAGTCAGTGCGGTCGACTACGCACCGAGGAGTAATATCCGACATACGCGACAACGTCGCCCGAGGCACGTTCTCATTGACCCCGACGACCCCATAACGGCAGGTAACCTCCCCACGGGCCCACCCGTTCCACCCCGACCACACTTTTACACACACACACGACACCGTCCTCGCCGGCGAAGACGACGACCTCAAACACACAATATCGCGCATTCAACCGGGCGCCTGCGCGCGCCCGGGCGCTCCACACCGGCGCCCCCGGGCGCCCCTCCGATCGATCCCCCATCCAATTCAAACGGGGATCGAAATTACGACGGCCTGAGCCGAGGTTCGAACCCCTAGTGGTGCCCTCAGACTAAAGTCGTATCCGTCAGTTGGCCTTCAGCCGCTCCATAAGTCCTTCCGCGGGTTTGGAGTGCCATCTGCACTCGCCCCATAACGTCCGGTGAAGCTGTAAAGGCCAGCTACGGCCAACAGCATTAGAGTAGTCCGAAAAAAAAAAAAAAAAAAAAAAAAAAAAAAACGGCACAATTCATTCCGCTTCCATCGCTAGTACAGACCACCGAACTCTGCTCGAGAGGATAATTACACTTGTCTTTCTTGTTTCCACCTGCACCCGCAACCTTACAAACAAGTACGGGGAATAGATACCCGTACAGCCTATCTTCAAGAATAAGGGTGATGTTCAAGACTGCAGCAATTATCGAGGAATAAAGCTTATGTCACATACTATGAAAGTGTGGGAGAAAATGATAGAGAGACGCTTGCGAGAGGAGTGTGATATTTCACAAAATCAATTCGGTTTTATGCCTGGTCGAGGTACCACGGATGCCATTTTTGCACTACGCCAGCTGTGCGAAAAATACCGGAGTGTAAATAAAAATTTGCATATGGTATTTGTCGATCTCGAAAAGGCATACGACCGAATTCCCCGTCTAGTTTTGTGGTGGGCCCTAAAGAAGAAAGGTGTACCAGGGAAGTATGTAGATCTGATACGTGCCATGTACATTCGGTCTAACACATACGTCCGATCGGCGGTAGGTGCCTCCGATAAGTTCAGTGTGGCGGTAGGCTTACACCAGGGTTCGGCTCTAAGCCCTTACCTCTTCCTCATTGTAATGGATGCTCTGACATCGGACATTCAGAACTAGGTACCCTGGTGTATGCTGTTTGCCGACGATATTGTGCTTGTTGGTGAGGATGGAATCGAGGTCCAGAGTAGACTAGATAGATGGCAAGAAAAACTGGAGAGTGTTGGCTTGAAGATCAGCAGAACTAAAACTGAATACCTATTCTGCGATTTCGGCGGTCTCTCCAGTTTCAAGCCTATCTATCTAAACGGTGTAATGCTTCCGGTCTGCTTCGATTTTCGGTACCTCGGTTCAGTTATTCAGAACAATGCCGACATAGACCGCGATGTAAGGCACAGAATTAGTGCGGGATGGATGAAATGGCGACAGGTCTCGGGAACGATATGCGACCCCCGAATGCCCTTGAAACTAAAGGGTAAAGTTTATAAATCTATCATAAGACCTGTCATTTTGTATGGATCTGAATGTTGGGCCGTAAAGGGGATGGACGAAAGGCGTGTGCATGTGGCAGAAATGCGAATGTTAAGATGGATGTGTGGGGTTACCAGGAATGACAGAATAAGGAATGAGTATGTATATACGAGGAAGTTTGAAAGTTGCGCCGGTTATAGAAAAGTTGCGAGGTAACAGATTGAGCTGGTATGGGCATGTTATGCGGAGGAATGAGGACCATGTCTTATGGAAAGTGTATAATATGAATGTGGATGGATGTAAAGGGAGGGGACGCCCTAAGAAAAGATGGATGGATTGTGTGAAAGATGATATGAATAAAAGAAGAGTATGTTTAGATATGACGACTGATAGAGAGCAGTGGAAGAGAATGACATACTGCGCCGACCCCAAATAATGGGATAAAGGCAAGGCAATGATGATGACATATGTATATTTAATATAAATCATAAGACTGCCGTATGTTATCAAATTCTTTTCTGTCCTGAATAGAAATGAATTTGAAACCAAACTTAGGTTATCTACTCGTAGCTTCATCTAACACTACAAAACTAAAACGTATCTGACTATATCTAAGTCAGATACGTTTTAGTTTTTAAAAACGAAGTATCTGGTAGTGATGACTTAGTTTAGCTTCCTGGTAATGAAAATTTTGAGATTCTACAATATAATTTGTTACAGACACACAAGACAATGCCTATAGATAAAAAGGATAAATAAAAAGTAATAATTACTATAAATGTTTTTTTAAAACTTAAAGATGTAATAAACACATACATAAACAAAAAAGAAATTAAATATAAACAAGTACAAGTAAAAGATAACGATACAGAAACGCGTAATAGCTAATGTTTAATGAAAAGGATTGGCAAACAAGGTTTGATGGGAAGTGGCCAGATATATACATAAACTGCACGACAGGAAACACGTCATCACGTGACGCCAATGACACTTCCCATGTGATATTTCGGGGGACGAAGATGTCATGCTTTGATCTTAGTAATATTAGAAACGCAAATTTCTGTGTGTATGTATGTTTGATACTCTTTCCCGCAAAAATTACTGAACACATTGATACAACTACAGTAATATAGCTTAGATATCAAACTAACATATAAGGTATAATTTAAAAGAGATGTGTAAATTGGTGGAAATGTCAAGTTCGATGAAGACGAAGCTGAGCGGGCAATATGGTATAGAAATATAGTAGAAAGCCATTTAATTATAGCGTTATGCAGGTCCCATGTGAATGTCATATTAGCATATGATATGTGTAAAGTGTGATGCAGACGAAGTTACGCGGGTCAGCTAGTACACAATAATTTTACCCTTCAAACTAAGAGTTCATAAACATACCTGAATGGCAGCTTTCAAACTAAAACACCGAATGACGGCTAAAATAAACCCACGCAAATACAATTGTACAAAATTTGCCTTAAATATACGAATATCGATAAAAAATTAGAAATTACTCACGCGGCATGTAGAATGCGACACAACCGCACTGTTCGTATGTGAAATTTGAATGGCACTCAAGCATGCAATTAGTGGCTGTGTAAATATTGAAATAGTGCAACTGTCGTTCCGCTGGGAAGTAGCATTGTCGTCTAGAAAACAAAATATTTATTGCTACTAATTTTATATCCCGATTAATCAATTTTATCGAATGTGGAATCCCATTTCAGTTTTTCTTTTTGCAACAATAATGTAAACTAGGAATTGGAATTACATAATGTATTTGTATTATTTTGTTTATTTCCGCTACTGTGAGATCAAAACGTTCTAAATTAATAATTGTCGGAAATTGATATACTAGTGAGGATGTTGGTAACGCATTAGGTAGTGGTGGTCAAATTGCTGCACTGAATGTTTATGGTCTCGCATATGCTAATAGTATTGAATTGAACAAAATAATACGTTATGTAATTTCGATTAATCATAATCATGCGGTAAAGGTAGCAGACAGAAGTTAATCTAAATTAATATTACAGGAAGAAATATTACATTTCTTTATTATAACGCTGAAGGTATAATTACTAATGTCAGGAACCACTGATTGCAATAAAAACAATCTTTCAATGTAGAATAGCTCTAATAATAATATTGGAGCTAGGGTATAAGGTATATAATGTCACGATACAATCAATAGAAACGGAGCATCAATAAAAATGTTGTAAAGCCAGAGAAAATTTATTCCATCTGTGAGCAGATGAAAGATCGCGTATCTGATGACAACGGAACAAACTGAAATGTGTTACTAGTTTTTTAATATTCACTTACCTAGAGAAAGTTAATTTTTGGCAAGTATCATGTATTTGTAGGATACAACTATTATAGTATTAAGAACATGTAATTAGTAGATTAACGTACGCTTTAGGGCTGTAGTCTTTTAAACTGTTGGTTGTTGTTATCATCTGAAACTTAAGACCCAGAGATGTGACTCGTCTCGGCGCCACCGAGTAGTAATATTGAGATGTCAGTGGTTGATCAGCGGGATGCTGTACGAATATCTAAAACATAACATCAATTTAGTAAAATAGATATTAGAAAAGAGGTAGTTATTAAAAAAAATCCAGGATACGGATGTGGGTCAGGACTTAATAAAACCTAAGGTCTTTAATTATACTCGGAAAAATATTGGCAATCAAGCGTTGCATCCACCTCAACAACGAAAACGTTAAAAATGCCATCAAATAGCTCAATTAGTACTAGTCAATTAGATATTTAGAAATTTTTGCAATAAACATATTTTTTCTATTCAGCTTTTCTATTAGTATTTTCTTTTCCTAAAACGAGCCGTCCACAATAACTTTAATAATATAAAAAAATACCTTCATAGAATGCTAAATTGTTTTATCATTAAAATGGAATTTGGAATGCACTATAAGAAGAAAAAATAATGGAAAGAGGGTAAGGGGAATACCAAGACATAGTTATATCTAGTACATTAAGGACAAAATTGTAGTCGAGTTGTATATTTAAAGAGAATAAAGGAAGATTGTGGGAAGTGGCAAGAGCTCCACCAACAAGAGTATCGCTCTTTAATTATGAAAGAATAAATATAAATATAAACGTACTTTGAAACCTTTATTGACGATATTACATAAACGATCATCGTCATTATCAGGTACTCTAAGTATGACGTCCAATTCTGGCACATGTCTGGAGTCCTAAATGTGAAAGAAAATTGAGTTTATTTTATTATTTATTATTATTTATCTTTACGGTTTGATGAGTGGAAATTTGGTAATAAACATACAGTTCACTGAAGCATCATCTGCTTCTTCCTTTACCTAATCATTTGGGGTTGGCGTAATATTTTTTTCTTCCATTCATTCATATTTGTTCGCAGTCATCTCGTTATTAATTGTCTTTCTTGCTTTATCATATTTCACACAGTCCATTCATATCAATTTCGGCCTTCCTCTTTCCTTATAACTATCCACGTTCATATATAACACTTTCTTTAAAATATTCTTTTGATTTCTAGGCATTTCATCTTAGCCCCCAGCATAATATCTTAATCCAATTTGCAATATAGGAGAGTTACCATGTAATGATTATATTTGGAGAAATCCTTAGGGCTGTTCATGTATATAGGCGATGTTTACCATCCATCTCCATATCATCAGGTGAGATATCAGCTGATATGAGATAGCAGCTTATATAAAAATCATTAAAGTAGATCAGTTTCTATTGTGATCAGATAGATAATGTGTTTGTTACTTCTGTTTCTAGAATCGACATTATAACCACGAGATTGATCGACTGATGAATTATGACTACTAATGAAGAAATGATGTTTATCATCCATTTCCATATCATCAGGCAGGATATAAGCTGGTTTCTCATATAAAAATCATCAAAGTAGATCAGTTTCTATTGTGATCAGATAGATCATGTGTTTGTTACTTTTGTTTCCAGAACCGACAGTGTAATCACGAGATTGATCGACTGATGAATACTAATGAAGAAATTTGAGTATACAAATATATGTAACAGACTAGGTTCTTTCCATCTATAGTAAGAGATATAGCGTAAACATTGATTTTATATTATACATTATAATTCCTCATCCTCATCATTATGATTAAAGAGTTTATTTACCATCCCTCGGCGTGGATAAGGGTCAGGGTCTCTGGAGTAGCCTTCAGTTAAGTTCCATCCATGACTAGGTGTTTCAGATGTGCTGTAGTTATATTCCTTTTGAACACTGTAAAACATAACTCGCACTTTTTTATCGAATTGGGTGTTATTTTGCGGATGTCCATATCATTACTTAATGGATTTATATCATTTTATTTAATTCCGCTACCATTAGCATGTTTGAGATCACAAATATGAGTGTAGACTCAAAAAGGGTCGTAGGAGGAAGTCTGGCTGATCACTACATTGCCGAAAAAATGCAGGAAAGCAGACTGCAATGGTACGCGCACGTGAAAAGAAGACCACCTGACTACGCTGACAATCTGGCGCTACAGCTTTCCATCCCCGGTAAAAGAGGCAGAGGCAGACCAAGGAAGCGGTGGGAAGATGTAATTGTTGGAGATATGGTGGAGTGCGAGGTTTCTGAAGACGATGTATGGGACAGGGAAAAGTGGCGGAGAAAAACAAGGAAAGCTGACCCCATCACCATGTGGGATACAATGCTGGGAAGAGAGAGAGACTTAATAAGTGTCGTAATAATTTTATCACTAATAGTAACTAGTAACGGTGGTCAGGTTTCGGATCAACAATGCAACGATCGGATTTGATCACCAATAGAGATGGTCGTAACGATATAGTAAGAAAGGAAGTAAATAACGCGATGATTGCGAACAGGGATGAATGGAAGCGAAAAACATATAACGCCGACCCCAAATAAATGGGATAAGGAAGAAGCAGATAATGAGAGATAGTCGTAACGTTTCCAGTAGGGGTGGTCAGGTTTCCGCACCAAATATTTGTGGTCTCTCACATGCTAATGGTAGTGGAATTAAAAAAAAATAATATAAATCGATTTAGTTAATCTCTCTCACTATTCATATCTAGTGGAATTGAAAGATACTTAATACATGTAGAAAACATTCAGATTAGTAAAAAAAAAATATTATACGGGAATCGAACCTGCGATCTTTAAAAAGTAAGGCCGTGTGACTAACCGCTAAATAACTATTCTTACTTGTCCATATTAAGTACTTCAGTTGTCGCAAGTGAGTTAAAGTTGAAACACACTCCTTCGTCCGTCAGAACAGTGGAGAACAGGTCAGAGCATGGCACCGAGGAGTTTCCTCGCCACGAACACATGAACATGTAATCTTCTATCGTGGGTGAGACCTAAAGCAGGCATCAGTGTACTTAAATTCAAATTTAAAAATAATTTATTCATATAGCACATTTGAGCCGCTTATGAGCGTAAAAATTTTTATGTTATAATTTTTTCCCTACCGTCCAGTTCGATATATAGATCGAATTGAGAAGAACAGACAAGTAACTCTATTGAATAACTTTTTTTACGCCCGTTTATTTACATTGTAATTTAGGTGTCTATGTGTAATATTAAATGAAAATCCAGTGCATGAACAACTATTGCCAGGCACGCTCGTCGTTCAGGTAATCATTTTGACTTTGCTCAGTAACTATGATTTAACAGTTGTTTTGAATTTATTTAAGGGTAATTCCTTTGGTATATTATTCTAAATTTTATACCAATTCCCATAAAAGACTCACTATTTATAAAAAAAATACCATTAGAATATAATAGAAATTTCTTTATTCAAATAGACTTAAATTTAAACACTTTTGTATTGTCCAAAAAAAATTTTTAATCTACTACTCATTCGGAAAGTTTTCTGATTACAAGAAGAACGAGAAAGAATATACATATACACATCAAAAAAATAATTTTAAACGTAATCTAACTGTTTGTTTGTTCTTTCTCTGAAACGGCTGCACCGATTTTGACGAGACTTTCATTCGCAGATAGCTAATATTATCCTTATAATATTAGCTTTATAATAGAGGCTTTAAAAGAAGTAGAGAAATATTTTATTATTTTAATTTAACTCGAACGGGTATTCCTCTTGACTTCTCTATCTGCCTGTGTATGTGAGATATGATGTATATATAAATATATTAATAATGATATGGTTACCTCTAAGAAACTCCGAGTAACCGACGCATTCGAAGTTTTGCGCCCAATTTCAAAATCGGACATTACATCGTTAAGTTGACAAATAAGACTAATATCTTGAAGTTTTATTCTTGCCGCTTCCACTTCTTTTGTTATAGTTGTACTAAAAAAACGAGATTTGAATTTGATTTTTTTTTTCTACAAGTGACGGTTCTTTGCAACCATCGTGCATCGGTTAGCTTAAATAGCTCGATAGATACATCAAGCCATAAGCAGAATGTCATAGAATAATTATGACATTCATATAATACATTGTTATAAAATAAATTTAAATTTCGAATAATAAAAAATCGAATTCTTGATATGACACTACTAAATTTTAATCAGCATTATTTTTACCGCCAATTAATTACCAAATTTCCTTTTTTTGTTCATATTCGTCCATCTCCTTTTCAGTGATGGAACAGGCACAGATTTATCAAATTTCCATTCGAAATTTGAAAAGAATTTCTTTTTCTTAATACTTAGTTTCGTTTATATTTTTGCTTGCCAGTGTTAACTATTATACTGATATGGTTTTTTTATTATGGTTATTTAGTATATCATATTATGTTTATATGATATTATAGAAATATTAATCATCGACACATTTTGTTATTAAAATGTAATGTAGGTAACAAAATATGTAACTAAACGTAACTGAGTATTACAGCCAAATAAAATTATATTTAACTAGCTGTGCCTACGGTATCACTCGCATGTTATTTGTAGCCTATATGTTATTCTAATGAAAGAACTATATTACTATAAAGTTTCATCAAAATCGTTCAGTAAAAGTAAAGTAGGTAAAAAGTAGTTGCGTGAAAGAGTAACAAACATTCATCCATCCATCTACACATCCATACAAACAAACTTTCGCGTTTATAACATTACTAAGATTTTGCTCACCTGTTTATAACGTACTTAATGTATTCATTTGTGAAGTTGTATATAGTACCTCTAGTTTTTATTTCTGGACAGATCGTTATCGACGGAAAAGGCACCTGAAATTTAGTCAGAAATAATTATATATAACAAAAGAAACCTAAGAATCTACAGCAGTATCTATCTACTGATGTATAAAAACTACGTAAGAATCTACTAATACGTCTGAGCCCAGACGATGGTGACAGCTCGACAAGATAGTGTAGAGTCGTGATCCTCAGCAGTGAGGACCGATCAAGGAGAAGATGTCATATCAATCTATATATTGTAATCTAAATATATATAATTCAAAGGTGACTGACATAGTGATCTATCAACGCATAGCCCAAACCACGGGACGGATCGGGCTGAAATTTGGCATGCAGGTAGATGTTATATAACGTAGGCATCTGCTAAGAAAGGATTTCGATTAATTCTACCCCCAAGGGGATAAAATAGGGGATAAAAGTTTGTATGAAACTTTCTCAATATTAAACCAATCGAGCTGAGACTTTGCATGCATAAAGCTACTATGACGTAGGTATCCCTTAAGAAAGGATTTTGATAAATTCCACCCCTAAGGGGATAAATTAACGCAAGAGAAGCCGCGGGCAAAAGTTAGTATATACATATGATACTTACCATTTCAACTGGCACAAACTTCTCACTGAAACTGACTATGACTGGACTAGTTTGCCATTTGATCCAAACGTTTCTTATTAGTAAGAAACATAGTACCACACTCAGTAGGAAGGTCACCAGCCAAAACAACCTACGGATTGCAATATTATATAGTGAAAATAATCTATCACATCAAAAACATAAATGTGAAATGATAGCCGAGTTTAATATTATGATATATGCCTTGATTGTTGACTTCTACGACAAAAGAGATGAGATCTAAATGGGTGTCAAGTTCAATGGTCTGTCCTGAAATGTATTTATAACAATATAAAATATCATTTCTTCTTATAACTTAGGATAATATACTGTAGCCTAAGGTCTGACTTGGCTAGTTTTCATATACGAAATATACTGTAATAGTTGATCAGTAAAAATGACGATATTTGGATATTAATATCTAAATAACCGTTTGAGATATGTTTATGAAATTTGGAACACATATTTATCTCGCAAGTCTCAATATATGAACCAAATTTGACAGGTTTATGTGAAAGAGTTTTTGAGTTATGAGGGGGTCAAAAGTGGCTCCAAATGGTTCGTGTCTAGATATGTATTTACAAAATAAATATATCTATTTATATCAGTTCAGTATCAGTCTGTGTTAATTGTCCAAGGCTATTTATTATATTTTTGTAAACGGTTATCTTTTTCCATCACACCGCTCGCTATCGACAGTGAATTCATAGAAATGTCACTCTAAAAACTAAAATAGTTTTATGTTTTCAAATTTCAAATATTAAATGCAAAATAGGTATTTTCAAAATACCATAAAGATATAATATAAAATTAAAATTATTACCTGTATATATACCTATATATGCACATATCTCATATCTTTTCCTCATTCAACCTACAACATATACACTATTATAATTATAAGTAGAAAATATATTAGTTTATATGCGACCAACATATCTTAATACTTTAATATAATTTATGATCATGCATGTTGGGTTTACAATAACTTAGTACATACATCAACTGAACATCTTAATCTTAATATAATATTATAAACGCGAAAGTTTGTGAGTACGGATGTTTGTTACTATTTCACGCAAAAACTGCTGAACGGATTTTGTTGAAACTTTACAATAATATAGCTTATGCATCAGAATAGCATATATGCTAAATTTTTAATTGAAATTTAACGCGGGTTAGTTAGTTCATAATAAAATTGTCTATCTATATGTTTGTTTCTAACATTTTTGGGGTTAAATAGTTGAGACGTCAAATAACAACGTAATATCGGCGGAACTGTTCAGGTATAATGACTGTTACCACTTACAGAAAGGTTGGCTTTAGCTTCGGCTATGCCATTCTACAGTAACACATGGTTTCAGTGATTTAGTCTAGTCATGTTAATTCCGATGGTTATAGGTTCGATTCATATACTCATGCATATAATTATAAATATGTAATTATGAGTTTTTCGGTCTCGGTGGTCTAGCGGTTTAACACTCCGCTTTACTTCCGATGGTCGCGGGTTCACAAACATTTGTATTCATGAGTATTATTGTTTGTATCGGTCTGGGTGTTTTCTTTGTAATTTATGTATGTAGTTACAAAAAAGTATTTGATTATTGTTATCAGTTGTCTAGTAATCAAAACACAAGCTTTACTTCTCTATTATATATATATACAAGAGCACTGCGTACATTAAATCATATAACGGAGCAAATAGATCTATTTTCTTGTTCTCTGAATGAGTTCACGAAGATCGCTTTATTTATTATAAAATACAATTAATTTTAAAATATATATATATATAATTAGTGTGATTGGTCTCGGTATTTTCTATGTATATTATATATGTATTTAAAAAAAAAGAGTATTTCAATCAGTTACGTAGTACCCATAACAGTGTGTAGTTTATGTTTGGTTTTTATTTATATATGGTATTATGTCGTAAATGTTTGCTTTGTGTTGTCCGCCTGGATTTATGTATGTATGTGTATTATTATTATTATTTTATTATATTTATTGTATATAATCAAAACACAAGCGTCGTGGCACCCCGTCACGATTATATATATATATATATATAATTATTAATATAAAATGTAAACTTAATTTTCTAAAAATATTTATATATGTATTTAAAAAATTTTCTTTCAATCTTTTTCTTTCTTTCTTTCATAACATAAGCTCTCCTTAGTTTGGGACTAGATAACTGAATAGAATTGAATTCAAAAAATTCAAAAATTCAAAATTCAAAAATCATTTATTCATGTAGGAAATTTTAGCCGCTTATGAACGTCAAGTTTTTACTTTAGAATTTTTTTTCCCTACCGTCCAGTTCGGTATATAGATCCAATTGAGAAGAACTGGCAAGAAACTTGAATTGAATTGAAGAATTGATTATTATTATTGATTAGCTGTACTCGGAACTTCGTCCGCATTTATCTTTATTTTTCTAAAATAAAAGTAGCCTAACTTACTTCATATTACATCAGCTACCTGCTAAAAAAAGTCCCGTCAAAATCAGTCCAGACATTTCAGAGATTAGCCGGAACAAACAGACAGATAGATAAAAATTGTAAAAATTGTTATTTCGGTGTACGTACCGTATTTTTATTCATATGCATGTAGTAAAAAACGGTTATTAGACACAGACACTCCAATTTTATTTATATGTATAGATGTATAGATTATTTTTCTCAGCCTTTGCTGGTTTGTGACCCTATATGGCATGTACACTTCCAACCTTAAACCAACCGGACTTTTTATTATTACTGTTAAAAGATAATAAAATTAGTTACTTTTCAAAGATGTTGAGACTCTTCTCGGCGAGATATCTTAGACCGTGCAGCGTAGTCTTCGATGCGTAATCTGTTAGTAAATCTTTAAACAGGATTTTCCTACTTTTGCTGCGACGTTCTGATTTCTTCTTTATATTTGTTCCTTTCCTTGTGAGGCAAAATTTATAAACGAAAGAAAATTAATTGAAATTTTATTACATTTGACATGACGACCTCGGTGGTCTAGCGGTCAAGCACACCGCTTTACGACCGATGGTCGCGGGTTCGATTCCTCGCACGGCACAAACATTTGTATTCATGAGTATGATTGTTTGTATCGGTCTGGGTGTTTACTATGTATAATATCTTGTATAATTCTAGTATTTACAAAAAAGAAATATCTGTGTATATGTATCAGTTATCTAGTGCCCATAACACAAGCTCTAGATAGCTTAACTTGGGTCTAGATGGCGCTGTGTGAATTGTCCTAAGATTATTATTATTATTTTATACAAAACCTTGCTTTTTTAATATAATGTTATTAGAGACATATATTATGAATAAAACTGTTACTTTTTTAAACATTCCTATTCTATATACATGTACTTTGATAAAGAAACCAAATTCGAAAGAAGGCGGTAGTTTCGCCTCTTAAAATGACCATGTCAGATTGACCTCCACGCGGTTCCTCCTGGAAACCATCATGATAAATTACTGGTAATTTTTTCATTACAGGCAAACTAACCTGATCTTATATTCATCAGTGGAGGATGATCCAGCATACACCGTTATCGCAGGTGGGTGCACCATTCCATATTCATATACATATTTTTAATATCTTATTGCATGAAACTTTGCTAATTATTTTGACTTCAAATACATTGTGATGAATAATGAAACCTAATAGACACATCACGGGATGAATATAGATTTTTTTTATGACACAGGGGACAAACGAGCATGCTCAGCAGGCTCACCTGATGGTAAGTGATTACCGCCGCCCATGAGCACCCGCAACACCAGGGGAATTGCAAGTACGTTGTCGGCCTTTTAAAAAGGAATAAGCTCTTTTCTTGAAGGTTTTAATATCGTATCGGTTCGGAAATACCATTGCTGGAAGGTGATACTACAATGTGGTTGTGCGAGGCAAAAAGTTTCTAGAAAACCGCACTGTGGAGGACCACCATTCATCCAGATGATCAGGATGGTTGGCTGAGTTTCACCACCCGGTACGGTGGTGAAACTCAGCAGCTGATATTAATCCGAACAATTCGTCAGAATACTCCCCATAATATATGCGGTAGAAAATGCATAGAGATGCAATATCTCCCAAAAATCCAATAAGATTCCGATTATTATAAAATTATAAGTACAAATACTTACTTCATTATAAAAAATTGTATAAAAAACACGTTACACACAAGTTACACTGGCCTCTATGAAATGTAACACTAAATAACACACTATGTAATTCAATTATCTATTATAGTTAATTGGACACGAACTGTCTGTCATTATGTATCATTATAGTCTACATATAGATGGTAGTCTAGCGGTTTAGCACACGGCTTTACTTCCAATGGTTGCAGGTTGAATTCCTCGCATGGTATACCACCGATACAAACAATCATACTCATGAATACAAAATGAATACAAATGTTATTTGTATTTATGTATTCATGTATGATTGTTTGTATCGATGACTGTGTTATATGTATAATGTCGGGTTGAATTCCTCGCATGGCATACCACCGATACCAACAATCATACTCACGAATACAAAATGAATACAAATGTTATTTGTATTTATGTATTCATGTATGATTGTTTGTATCGATGACTGTGTTATATGTATAATGTCGGGTTGAATTCCTCGCATGGCATACCACCGATACCAACAATCATACTCACGAATACAAAATGAATACAAATGTTATTTGTATTCATGTATTCATGTATGATTGTTTGTATCGATGACTGTGTTATATATATAATGTCGGGTTGAATTCCTCACATGGCATACCACCGATACAAACAATCATACTCATGAATACAAAATGAATACAAATGTTATTTGTATTCATGTATTCATGTATGATTGTTTGTATCGATGACTGTGTTATATATATAATGTCGGGTTGAATTCCTCGCATGGCATACCACCGATACAAACAATCATACTCATGAATACAAAATGAGTACAAATGTTATTTGTATTCATGTATTCATGTATGATTGTTTGTATCCATGACTATGTTATATGTATAATGTCGGGTTGAACTCCTCGCATGCCATACCACCGATACAAACAATCATATTCATGAATACAAATGTTATTTGTATTCATGTATTGATATATGATTGTTTGTATCGATGACTGTGTTATAAGTATAATGTAACTAAGTAAGTATCAGTTGTCTAGTACTCATTAAACTATGTCGATTATATCCGTACCAAGAGTAACCTGACATTGAGGGTGACGCAGCTGGAGTCGAGCCACAACGCGAGTTTCAAGGCGTTTGTAGCCCGGGTCCCCACTAACATGTTGCCCACCTTCATGAAGGAAGACAACAGGCCGAAGGGTGTGGTGTACCGGCGCTACCGTGGCAGATTGCCGCCGTCAGTGCCGTGATGACAGAGACAATTTCAATATCTTAATTTTATACTATTTCATATTTCTGTTAGTCTATAAAGTACTTATAATATGGGCCTAATAGCCTGAAATATATAAATAAACAAAACAAGCTCTGCCTAGCTTTAGACTAGATAACAGTGTGTGAGTGTCCCTGGATTTTATTGTTATTATTTATTTATATATATGTACTTTCAATTATTATTATTTATTCTCACTACTTTATCCTCACGACCATGATTAACAGGAACCAAAAGTAGTCTATTTAAGTGATCCCCAAAATACTACTGCCTAGTATATTTTATAAAAAATATGCGTTAAAAATTTAATTTTTTTAACTTTAATGCACAAAAACAATGTGTACCTATGGCGGACTTAATATCATTGCGGCGTTATCTACCAGGCAACCATGAGTGGTGCAGAGAAAGATTGTTGGCGGTGCACTAATATAAATGAGAAATGTCAAAGGAAAGATATATAAATATAAAGCAAAATATTTTAAATATAAATTCCAATAAAAAAAAATTCTTTACATTAGATTTTTTTTTTCATTCTATTTCGCAGTACTGAAGTTTTCTTTCTTCATAATAATATCATCTCTTTGTATAAGATTAGTTATAATTTCATGATAATTGGGTAAGCCATTAGATTTATAATATTACCAGTGTGATAGTGTTACAAACAAACCTACAAAATCATTTTCACTTTTATATTAGTTACCATGTTGAATGTATTATACCAAATTATATTGGCATATAGTGAGCTCATATGGGACGGGACATACATAATGTAATTAAATTGCTTTCTACTATGACCACCTAGGTAGACTAGCGGTTTAGCTCGCCGTTTTACTTCCGATGACCGCGGGTTCGATTCCTCGCACGCACAAACATTTGTATTCATGAGTATAGTCTGGGTATTTTCTGTATATATATGAAAATAAATATCTATGTATTTATATCAAATGTTTAGTACTCATAACACAAGCTGTACTTGACTTGGAATTAGGTAACGCTGTGTGAATTGTCATGAGAAATCTTTATAATTTCTTTTATTAATTTTAAGGATATAGTGATAATGGCGGAATTAAAAAAAACGTTATTTCAATATTTTTTATTGTATTGAATTCAAAGCTTTCTAACTTCTTTATTTTGTAATATACAAAATTTATTGTCACTATTATTATCATATTTTTAACATTAATTAAAATTTCTATTTTTACTAACTATTTTATCTCTATGTCTTGATGTTTGTACTTTTCATCTATAGTTTCTTCCACTTTATCTTTAGTTACCTTAAATCTGTGAAAAAAAATAGAACAAACTTATTTATATCATACGGAGTGTCTACATATAAAGAAAGAAAGAAAAACATTTATTGACAACCATTATTGATGTAAATATACATTTACACATTTGACATTGGTACATTTTACATATACATATGTATACACACATACACACACACACATACATATTTACATACATACACACGTAGAACAATTACAAAAAAACATCTATAATATTTATCATATAAATACAACTTAAAAACTGCGAAAAATAAACAAAATAATATAACAATAATTATTTCAAGAAAAGACATTTCACATGAGACACAACTTTACCTTATTTTAACTTAACTTAACCTATGACAGTTAAACAAAGTGGTCACTTGTGTTTATTTACAACGGCCTCTACACTAAGCATAGCTTGTATCGCAGGGGCCACACTATGTTTTACCTATTTAGTTTGTTTTATGACAGTCAGTTCTAATACAGTATCTATATAATATTTAAGATTTTAATGTAAGTGGAAGAATTAAAAACTGTATATATACATATTTGTTTTTTTTTGCATTTTTATATGTATATTATAAGAGTGTGGGCGTGCAATATAATTTGATGCAATCGATCAGATCGAAATGTGACATAGTCAAATTGTCACAATACGAGTTAATGTTTTTATAATTAGTATCAAAAAAATCAACTGATACTTCATCTGCTGGAATCTGAGGATTACCATAGAATTCATTATGACGCATTTTCAGATTTTTTGGTATAACTGTAAGGTATCATGACGCTTCGTATCCTATCCATCTGCGAGCAGTAACATATAATACATTATGACGCACTTTCAGATTGTTTTGCCATAACTAAATTTTACTGAACTGTAATTTTACTGTCACTGGAAAACAAAATTTACGACCTCGATGTTCTAGTGGTTTATCATAGCTGCCTGCTGCAATGGCCGCAGGTTTTATTCCTCGCATGGTAAACGCATTTGATTTCATGGGTATTGTTTGTATAATCTGGGTGTTTTCCATGTGTATATTCACCCAAAAATGTATTTCAGTATTTATATTAGTTATCTAGTACCAATAACACAAGCTCTGCTTAGGTTGGTACTAGATAGATGTAAACATATATATTCTTGTATATAAAACAGCGACAAAATTGCGTCATTAGGAAAACTTGTCTTAATCAATGTCGATAGAAAGAACAGCTAATCTAGTTCCGTTATGAAACTGATCAATCAGGACTAAACCCGAAATTACAATAAACTAAATTACTGACTCACCCCATAAAAATGTAATACAAAATCTCCAGCAAACTGAAGAAGGAAACTCCAAGACAAAGTCCAAGTAGACCACCAATGTTACCAAAGAGTTCTGACAGGGTATACAATTCTGACCGCTGTATCGACAAGGAGCTTGGTGACTTGAAGTATACATCGATCCTAAAGTAGTCATAGCTGAAACATAAATAAATTTAAGATTTTTTTTTCGGACTACTCTAATGCTGTTGGCAGCAGCTGGCCTTTACAGCTTCACCGGACGATAGGGGGCGAGTGCAGATGGCACTCCAAATCCGCGGAAGGACTTATGGAGCGGCTGAAGGCCAGCTCCTGCCTGACGGATACGACTTTAGTCTGAGTACACCAATAGGGGTTCGAACCTCAGCTCAGTCCGTCGTAATTTCGATCCCCGTTTGAATGGGATGGGGGATCGATCGAAGGGGGACAAATTTAAGATGTATATTTATTAATACTAATGGTCGAAAGTCGACTATAATTAATTTAAATTATAAGTTTGAATATTATTAGGGCTGTAGTAGAAAGACTATATTTATAAATTATATAGACTATACTTCTATGCGTGTGTGTAATGTTTTTATTGATTCAATGTACTTTTATGCATAGTATAAAACATATTAGCGAAATTTCATTCTCTTCCGTATCTCACTATCCGTAATATTCGTAAAAAGGGGTACAAAGTTATTGCTTGACATAATCTAAATATATATAACTCAAAGATGACTGACATAGTGATCTATCAACGCAGAGCCCAAACCAATGGACGGATCGGGCTGAAATTTGGCATACAGATAGATGTTACGTCGTAAGCATCCGCTAAGAAAGGATTTTTATTAATTCTACCCACAAGGGGATAAAATAGGGGATGAAAGTTTGTATGAAACTTTTTCAATTTTAAACTGGGCTGAGACTTCGCATGCATAAAGCTACTATAACGTAGGCATCCCCTAAGAAAGGCTTTCCATAAATTCCACCCCCAAAGGGATAAATTAACGCGAGCGAAGCCGCTGGCAGAAGCTAGTACTATATAAACGCGCAAATTTGTCAGCTTTCCGAACTGAATATTTGTGGTCTCACAAATGCTAATGTTAGCGGAATTAAACATAAGAATAATAAATAATATTATATGCTTACATGTCTACGTCTGTTTTATACTTGTACCCAGTCGCTAATAAGTGTGCAGCAATTTTTTGAATATCAAAATCGGATTCATACACTTCTGCGTCGTAAACGGTTTCGTCGCATGACGGTAAGCAGGAACATTTGTCAGGACGGTCATTTGAATACGCCTGGAAGATTTCACTCTGATATATGGCTGAAATTAGATATTACATCATCTAACTAATATTATAAACCAGCTACTCGCCCTGGCTGTGGACGGGTGTACATGTATTATACATATAAACCTTCCGCTTGAATCACTCTATCTATCGCTTCAAAATCCGTTAGGTAGTTTTGAAGATTTAAGCATAAATAGGGGCGGACAGACAGCGACAGCGACTTTATTTTATACTATGTAATTTATATATATAAAACTTCCTCTTGAAACAATCTATCGATTAAAAGAACCGCTTCAAAATCCGTTGCGTAGTTTTAAAGATTTAAGCAGACATAGGGACGGACAGTCAGCGACAGCGACTTTGTTTTATACTTATGCTACGGGTACTAGATAACTGATGTAAATATTTAAATTATTCTTTTATAGATACAAATCAAACTCGTGATCATTGGAAGTAAGGAGGTGCGAAACAATTCAATTTGTGTCCCTATGTATATAGGGACGGACAGAGACAGCGATTTTGTTTTATACTACTGTAGTGATGATGCGAAAGTTTGTGAGTATGGTTTCTCCTTCTTCTTTCGTTTCAACGGCAACTAAATGTATCTTCTCCAGTACGTTGCGATGACTTTTGCGTATACTGTCGCATTTTTAAATCTTCTTTTGTGCAGGATGATGGGCATAAAGGACAGGACAGTAGGTGAGCCATAGTCTGGGATGGCTAGTTGTTTTTTTTTTATAACACAGGGACAAAAGAGATCTCACCTGATGGTAAGTGAATACCGCTGCCCATAAGCACCCGCAACACCAGGGGAATTGCAAGTACGTTGTCGGCCTTTTAAAAAGGAATAAGCTCTTTTCTTGAAGGTTTCAATATCGTATCAGTTCGGAAATACCATTGCTGGAAGGTGATTCCACAATGTGGTTGTGCGTGGCAAAAAGTTTCTAGAAAACCGCACTGTGGAGGACCGCCATTCATCCAGATGATCAGGATGGTATTTTAGTTTCTGACGGGTGGTACGGTGGTGAAACTGAGCAGCTGGTATTAATCCGAACAATTCTTCAGAACACTCCCCGTGATATATGCTGTAAATGTTTGATGGATGGATGGATGGTAACAAACATTCATCCATACACACAAACTGTCTCGTTTCTAATATTAGTAAGATTTTAATATAATAAATTACCTCGAGCCCTTTTAGTGCAAGCCATTTTTTCTAAAGTACAAATGGATTGGTTTCCATCATCTGAAAATAGTTTAATTACGATAATTTGATAAAATTATGTTGCTGTCTGTACTGACGTATACTGTAAGTACAGATAGCAACATATGTAAATCTAGCAGGCACTGGTACTAGGTTAATAAACCTATCTGTGAAACTGAAAATAAAATTTAATGCTAGTATGAAATATTTATTCTAACATATTCTAGAAAATGACTTAGACTATCTAAGTCATTTTCTAATAACAATTTAGATAAAAACGATGTGGACCTTTAGTCTACGGAAAAAAAAAATTTAGATTAAAATGAAAATTAAAACAAAAATAATAAAAAAACAAATAACAATTTAGATTAAGATGAAAACAAAAAAAATAAACTTATAAATTATCGTAAATTCGTAGCAACATAATCTATGTACGGCGATTTAATCTTATATATAAAATTCTCGTGTCACAATGTTAGTTACCATACCCTCTGAAACGGCTTGACCGATTTTTATGAAATTTTATATGCATATTCAGTAGGTCTGAGAATCGGCTGCTATCTATTTTTCATATCCCTACTATACTATATATATTTCATAGTAATAGGGTTTGTCCACCCCTTAACATTATTTTACACATATATTATACGGTACTTACATAACAAACATTTTTGTTTTATCTATTTGCTTTTGCTAATCTCTAAAATGAGTACCGATGTTGATGAGACATACACTCACCGATAGCTAATATTACAAGTAGTAACTTAGGATTACATACTTTTATTTAAAAAAAAAATAGATAATTATAATAAAAAAAATGACGAGGACGAAATCGCGGGTTTTAGCTAGTAAATACATACAGTAAACAACTTACGTGGCATATAAAATGAAACACAACCGCATGTTTCGTACGTATAATTTGATATGCACTCCAGTCTACAGTTGTTGGGGGTGTAAATTTTGAAATACTTCAAGACTCGTTCCTCATGCAAATAACATTTGCGGCTAAAAAATTAAATAAATTATTTCGTACCATCACAGAAATAGAAAAAAAACTTTGTTCAAATAAACTTAATATACTTTTGGAAAGTCACAGATTTTCGGAACGCAGATTCATCACAAGAAGAATGAGCAAGAAACTTGTGTGTTGCTCATTTAAATAAATTATGTTTTAAGTAGATCTACATTAACAAGGATGCGAGAAGCAACATAGAAACCGCTACGCATACAAATTTTTTTCAATCAGTTAAAATATGAATTTAAAACAAGTAAGAAAAATTGTCTCAATGAGTTTCTTCTAATGAGCCTAATATGTCATTAGGCTCATTAGAAGAAAAACAAAGAATTATGAAGGAGGAAGGAAAATTATCTGATGGATACATTGTACCAAGTCATCAACATTTCTTTGTTACATGGAATGGCAACACTGAATCTGCATAGACTGGCAGATGCCAGTGATTACAATAACAATATTACAATAACAGTGATTACAATAACCAGATGGTTATATTGCCTCATCAATACCGCACAGTCAGCGTTCCGTTTCGGTCCGCTTCTAAGAAAGTTGCCGTATCAAAGGCACCAACGGGCACACCTGATCTCCCTCGCCCAGGCACCTTACCAGATTGCAGATTTGGTTCATCCATCGTGGAAGTATCACATAGTCTTAAATAATTATAAGAATATTTAAATATAACAATTTTATATTATACTAAAAGTATAGTTATAAATTGCATTTTTTTGCAACCTCTGGCCTAAATGCTTCTCGTATTTTTCTCTGAATAACATAACACCTCAAAATAATGATAGGGTCAATAACGGGCCACTGTCTATTGATTACAAAAATATATGGCACAACAATCATTAAGCTACTTATAATTAAAAAATGAGCAAAGCTCATTGTAATTTACGTTCTGTATTTTATATTGTGTTGAGTTATAATAAATTTACTCTAATGTATTCTATATAATTCCTAGTAGTGAACGTTTTAACTATACGTACACGTCCACTCCGAATTTTTCCAAATCAGCAGACGCGGATGTGGTTTGAAATTTAATTGCCAAAGATGTAGTCTTCCCTGGGGATGCCACGTAGAAATGCCTGAGCGCTTGCGGATGATCAGCCGGGTGTTGTAAATATATCTGTAAAACCATGCTCATTACTAAATGGATTTGTATTATTGTGTTTAATTCCATTGCTATTAGTAAGTAAGCACGAGTAAAATCACAAACATTTAGCGCGGTAACCTGACCCACGTTACTGAAGGCGTTACGAGCTTCCTCACAAGTGGTCAAACTCCCATCGTTGTCAAATAAACAAACACGTATCACAATATTTCTAAAAGCGGCATCATCAGGCAATGAAAAGAATTTGGATTTAGTTTATGGGATGCCTAGTAATGACTGCTCGGCGGCTATGATTATGACACATATGCTAAAAGTAGCGGATGTAAACAAATGTAATGAACTTCCGAAAAGTAACTTAATTCGATAAAATAGAAAAAAATATACTTACAAACATCATCAAATTCAAATCGCAAATCTCCTTTACTATTTATCTCTTCCCCGTATCTAAGAGTAGTTTTAAAGCACGAAAGAATGGTGCACCCGCCCTTGCTAGCGGTATATGCTGTTGGGGTACCAATTAAGGAAGACAAAATGGAAATGAAGCCAGGTAAGTTAATCTACCTGGAAGAATTTACTAGGAATCAACCACGGTAGTTTCCAAGGGAAGGTCTGATACGGGTACATTAATAGATCGGTCGTCATTACTAGGAATCCTGCACTCAAGCTAAAGCTAATGATTGTCAAATATTTTCCTACCACAACATTAGATTCGCATTTCAAATCTTACAAAAAATACTTACATTAAATCCACTAAGACCAGCATTACAGTAATCATATTGGTTGGTTTTTGGCAGTTTGAGAAATAGTGTAATACGAGATGCTTCTCCTGTCTGAAAAACAACCATTAACATAGCTTTACAAGGAATAAATTGGAATAAAGAAATTATAGAACAACACTATGTAAAATCGAAGACACTTTTTATATTAACTCCCTTAGTACTATTCACATATTCTTCATTCTTGAGAACTAAGTTTGGCAGGAATGAGCCTATACCCTATAATTTTACTGCTAGATCTCATGTTTAAAGTGAAACAGCTATCTGGCCGCAGTAAGAAATTTAATAGTAACCATGCATGTGACAATGTTTAAAGTTTCTAATAGCTGCTTTGTGTAAAAAATTTGGTATGGTAAGTGGGTTTTATAATTCATCTTGATATTATCTACTCCGAAAACAACTGAGAATATTACCGTCCTGGGTGGGTATACATGTATAGATTCACTTGTGTAACCTTTAACAAGGTCCCAACCTTTGCTGCGTTCAGAGGCATCGCTCAATGGATAATTAGGTCGCAAGCTGAAATATTATAATATTATTAATCCAATGCATATAGTGAGTTTATGAGAAAACTCCCTTTTTTACATTTTCTATCATATCTATACTAATAGGGGTAAGTTTGTTTGAATGTTCGGAGTAATCCTCGGTACTACTGATCCAAATTTCAAAATTCTTTTAGAATTGGAGAGTCTATTTATCAAAGAATGCTAAAGGATATATTACATTACACTATGATCAATAGCCGCGTAGCTGCGATTAGACGGAGTTAAATAAAAGGTAGTTACATAAAAATTGAACAGTATTTTATAAAATTTGTACACAAACCTTGGTGTGTAATTTGACTCCAAAAATATCGTTTTTATAAGTAGAAGTAAAATTTATCAACATTTTAAATATGAAATACATAATAGGTATATGAACATAACAAAATTAAAAAAAAAAATTTTTAGCTTAACTATTTAAACTTGTTAAAGCGTTTTAAAGAAGAAATTTGCACGCTAAGAGTTCTTACTTTTCCTCGCGAAATATTTCTGTAGCCGCTAACACATCTCTGTTGATACAATAACCTTCCTCTGTCAATATTGTAGCATACTTAATATGCAATGCTATATTGTCTAGCCATCGCAATTTGTCATCCATATTGACAAGAACCTGTAATCATCATTGTTCATTACTGGAAGAAGTTTACTTTGTAGCAGTTTATTATGTCTTAATTACAATAGCAAGCGTACAAATGGCCGTATTACCATCTACAGTAAAAACAGTAAAACTGGAGCACCAGTACGGGTAACGCTAACCCTACCTTCTCAATAATCATTGCCTTGCCCTTATCCTATTATTTTAGATCTGCGCAGTATGTCATCTTCATCAATCGATTCTTATCGGCCGTCATATTTGAGCTTACTCTTCTTTTATGTTAATCATCTTTCACACATCCATATTTTTCCGTCGTCCACTCAAATCTACTTCCATCCAATTTCATATTTTTTATTTTATTTTAAATACAATTTTCCACAGACATATTCGTCCGTGCCTTTTTTTTAATTTACTTTAATATTATTATATTTATTTAATTTCCACTTTTGTGCAACTCCAGCCGAGATGTTACAATTTGCCTAACAGTGGCACCGAGGCAGACTTTATCCGTCTGGCCCAGAACCACCGCTGGCCGGCCGGGTGAGTTGACAACATGAAGTGTCACCCATCCTTATTAGGAGCCAGTTACATTTACCAATATGCATATACAATTATATAAATCTTACACTACTACTAATTTCACAGTTTTCATTACATTGTGTTGTGTGTCCAATTTTATATTAAGAACCTTCTAACTACTGGTCTTAACATACCTTCTTCATATTATCTTGAATTGTATCATCAGTGAAATTTCGACCTAAAGTGAAATTTAACGTTTTAAATATACGTTGAGCAGTACTAGTAGGACATATCATCGAGATATCCTGAACGGCTTCCATTGCTTTTCTAATGGTTTCATTATGGTTTTTATATCTGAAAAAATGTCGTTAAAATGTATGCCGTTCTCCAAAAATCACCATTTTCCTCTACTGGACTTTTGTACTTTAGGAGTGATGCCAGTTTATTTACTTAGTCTATATATTTATAATAAAATTATATTTCTATGTAGTAAGTAGTCTTGCCTTCAAGACAAGTGGTGTACTTTTAGATCTATGGCCAGGTGGCAAGCTGGTAGTACTTCTAAATCCCAAAGAGGGGTGAGCTCAATTAATAATAAAAAAAAAAAATGTGTTAATATATGTTTTTAATTGACTCGTCGATAATAATAATATATATCTCTATTGTGCATAGATTTTTTTTACAAAAAAAAAAGAACTTAATATATATATATATATGGAATAAACAAAAGGCTGCCTTATCGCTTAAAGCACTTTTTAACAGATAACCTGATTTAATATTTCTTGGGCATAGAGTATAAAAAAATAATAAAAAAATGCTGGTAATAAATAATTCAATATATATTTTCTAATAATATCATATACTAAGTATTTTATAAATGACATAGAATTTGAAAAAAATATTTATTGTTAATATAAGTATTTGTACTGTTTAGATATTGGTATTAAATGTTTTATCTACATACACATGAAAATAAATAAATAAATATGTAGTTTATTTAATAACTCTACTTTTAATTATATTATTAACCCTAGAAAGATAATCTACATCTCTTAGACGTAAGCCCGATGCAAATATTGCTATATTTTTTTTATATAAAAGTAAACAGTAACTTACTCGTTGCGAAACGAAGCATTTGTAAAGTATTTTATATATTCATTTGTGAAATTGTATGATGGATTCACTTTTACATTCGGACATATCGTCACAGATGGGAATGGTACCTTTAAAAATAATACATTTATTATACCATAGCATTATATACACAATGATTTATACATTAGGGTTGTAATTACGAATTTAAAAAATACTAGCTACTATAATATTGAAAAATATCCAACCTTCATCAGAGTCATTGAATTGATTTCCGCAATTCATATCTATAGTGATTCTAATACGTCTTAGTTAAATGTTTATAGTTTAACATTGAGTTATTTTATTATATTATAGAAAAAAATATAACTAAATAAATTGTTATGTTTGTTGAACTTCTACGCGTTGATACTCCTAAGAACTCTCTAGCACTTATTCGTCTCTGGCCTCTATTCTATTTGTATGTAATTGGTATTACAAACAAACGGAAGGCTCATATTCTAATTGTTTCCCCGTACAAATAAAACGGGGACCGAATTTACTACGGTCTGAGTCAAGATTCGAACCCTTAGCGGTGTACTCAGACTAAAGTCGTTTCCGTTAGGCAGGAGTTGGCCTTCCGCGGGTTTGGAGTGCCATCTGTACTCGCCTCCTATAATTCGGTGTAACTGTAAAGGCCAGTTACTGCCAAGAGCATAAGAATAGTTCGAAAAAAAGCTTACAGTAAGCGTTGATCTTCGCCTAAGATGAACATATACGGACATCGGACTATAGTAAGTTTGTCATTGCTGCTACGAAAATAAAACTATGAATAAGAATAGCAAATAACATAAATACCTTAATAACATAAATAACATTGTTATAATTATATTGTTTTTATTTTTATATTTGATGTACATATAAATTTATGTAATTATTCTTTCTGTGAGAGAAACAATAAAGTATTTTTCATTCATTCATTCATAAATAATCTTTTTCGAATAAATTTTATATAAGCATTTTTTAATAGTTATATATTTTTTTCTACCACTCATTCGGAACGCAGACTCGTACTCAAGAACAATGAGCAAGAAACTTGCGTATTGCTCTTTTAAATTTATATTTTTAGCACAATTATGTAAATAAATAGTTTATTTAAGGAATAAACTATTTATTTACATAATTATGCTATTAGGCAGTTTGTATTCACACAAAAATCTTAAAAATATAATTTTGAACTACAGAGCAATACGCAAGTTTCTTGCTCGTTCTTCTTGTCTTAACGAGTTTCCGAATGAGTGGTAGAAAAAAATACTTAGATAACAAAATAAATCAGTCATAGTTATCAGATTAGACTAACTAGATACTCACCTTTTCTACTGGCACATATTTCTCACTGAAGCTGACTATAACCGGACTGTTTTTGTATTTGGACCATACTTTACTGATAAGTGAAACGCACAGAACAGCACTGACCAGGAACACAACTATCCAGAAAAGTCTGAAGAAATAATAGTGTTTTTAATGGATGTATATGTAATTATCAGACTCGAGGGTCTAGCGGTTTAGGACACGCTTTAGTTCTGATGGTCGCGGGTTTTATTCTTCGCACGCTACTAATATTTGTGTACTCATCATGGCGTATTTATCAGAAATTGACCACAATTCTAATAATATCAATAATCATGTAGAACAGTTTAGATAGTGGAGATAACCTGAATGATGACCTATCAGGGTAAAATGGGGCCATTACTTCCCATTACTGAGGATCCCCTCCTTTCCCGTAGTAATGCTGTTAACTATTTATAATGTAATAACCCTGGACAATCCCCCCAGCGTCAACTAGTTCCAAGCTAAGCAGAGCTTGTGTTATGGATACTAGAATAGAATAGAATAGAAAATCATTTATTCAAATAAACTTAATTTAAGCACTTTTGAATAGTCATAACAATTTGTTTTTTATCTACCACTCGTTCGGAAAGCTGTCTCATCACAAGAAGAACGAGAAAGAAACTTGTGTGTTGCTCTTTTAAATAAACCTTGTAAGTTTACATTTACAAGTCGAAATGTGTGAATACAAACTATCAACAAGCACTAATTTTTTGGGTCAAATATAAATATGCAATAAGATTAAATCAGTAGTAGTGATAAGAGCAGACCAGTCCCTACAAGCAGCACTCGTTTCACGAGTATGACGGATGAGCCAGTCATCATTGCGCTCGACCTTATTTTAGGGAACCCAATGACCCGGCCCACCAAGCCGCCACATGTCTGGACATTTTAGTGAGCATGACTACTCATTCCACACGACCACGTCACAGCTACAAAAATTACTATATGGTAGTTACAGTATTCACACTTTACATTACTCATTATTTGCACTAGACAACTCATATAAATACACAGATACGTTTTTTATTGTAAATACAACCATAATCACATAATTTAAATATAACCAGTAAATTGTACATACAAAATACTGTTTTCACTTTGACGATGATTGTGACTCTGTTATCTACAGGAGGACTACAGTTGCAAAGGAATGTTTACTATATGGCAATAAACTTACCTTTTGAGGCTGAAACAATTAGTCTGAAGGCAACCTTTCTGTTGCGGTGACTTGTTTCTGTCTTTGTCTCTCTCCTTCTGTTCTTGTACACTCGGAAATATATATTTGAGACCATGTATTGTTGAATTTTCCATGTATTCTAGTATCAGGTACCATATTTTCCGACGGTACTCCACCGTTTCAGGAGTATTTTGTCTTTGAATGCAAGTTTGTTTTTATTATTCTGCTATCTTAAAAATGTGTGTACTTACGTAACAGAACCTAATTAAGAGAGTGTACAAATATATAAATAGATAGAGCTATTCAAGAGGAAGCTTTATATATAATATATATATATAACAATTCGATGAATTAAAAGGTTTGGAACCCACTCGTGCGAAGACGAGGTTGGTCGTTAGTTAAGTATACTATTTAATTATATTCGAAAAAGGGACAATATAGTTTAATAGTTAGCTAGTTACATACTAATTTCACATATATATGACAAATTACACAAATACATACATACAATAACGAACACATACACACGTACATACGCAACGGAGTTTGAAGCGGTTTTTGGATGAATGGAAGCGAAAAACATATTACGTCGACTACAAATAAAAGGGATAAGGAAGAAGCAGATGATGATGATAATCTATCTAACTAGTCTTCTAGGAATTGTTCGTATTAATTATAGGATATAATGATACAGGCATTAGAGAGACTATAGCCATCTTCCCGCTTGAAATTTTTATATTTCTGTATTTCAATTGCCTCTCTAACCATTCTTGGGACGAAATGTCATTCTGATGCCAATACCTTCGGTTGGTGTAGTTCAATCCAGTGATTGGGTCCTGATTCTAACAATTGATCTACTGAAATCCACTTTATAAAGTGGTTTGCAGATGTGGAAGCTCATACATCGGACAGACAAAAAGAACAATTGCCCGTCGCATTAATGAACATATAAAAACTGTTAAAAATAACGATCCGCGTAAATCAGCTATAGCGGATAACTTGTTACGATCTTACCAGATCCTGTGATTTACTAATTATACATCTATTGTTATTGCTATGTTTTAAATTAGCTATATTACACGTTTTGCGGTAGATTAGGATAGAATAGACAAAGCATCTGTTAATTTTTAAGCTGACGTCATGACATGTTCGTCATTTATAAACTACTAGCTTTTGCCCGCGGCTTCGCTCGCGTTAACTTATCCCCTCAGGGTGGAATTTATCAAAATCCTTTCTTAGGGGATGTCTACGTCATAGTAGCTTTATACATGCAAAGTCTCAGCCCGATCGGTTTAAAATTGACAAAGTTTCATACAGACAATCATTAATTTCATCCCCTATTTTATCCCTTTGGGGGTAGAATTAATCAAAATCCTTTCTTATCGGATGCTAACGTCATAATATCTACCTGCATGCCAAATTTCAGCCCGATCCGTCTAGTGGTTTTGGCTATGCGTTGATAGATCACTACGTTAGTCACCTTTGAGTTATATATATTTAGATTTTTAATAATTTTTAGGTTCTAAACATTAACATTAAATGTATAAAGCCAGTTCATAAATCATGAAGACATTGTACGCAAAAGAGCAATTTCCATATTTTAGACATCAACTTAAAAAAATATGGAATCTTTATATAGCCTGTCTTAATAGGTTAGGCCAGACTACACAAAGATTTGGTGTGGTAGGCCATAGAACAGGTTATGTAGTTATTTATAGATCGCAATAATATAATAATATGATATTTGCTATACATTGCTAGCAATGTACCATATCAGGTTGACCTTCATGCGATTCGCCCTGGGAACCATCGTGATAAAATTTTAGTGAATTTGTCACGATGGTTTGCAATCATATCTGATTGACTATGATATTGGAGATGAATGTATTGAGTACATGTTGATTAAAAATTGGAATTATGAATACTATTATATATATAAAAGTACTACTGATAAATGGCACTTGTTGTCTGTTGCATATCAGAAATGACTAATGTGTAGAACTAATATATGATAATTATGTAAAACCACATTTAAGCGATAAATTTCATTTCATTTCACAAATCTCATTTGAATTCCAATTTTAGTTAAACAGAAATAGAAATAATCTTTATTCAAATAAAAATGTTTATTATTCTCCCTATCATTCGGAACGCAGATTCGTAACAAGAAGAAAGAGAAAGAAACTTATGTGTCGCTAATTTCTATATTTTTTTAAAATAAATAACACAATAACAAGTAAGAGGCATGCGATAACCAACATAGAAATCGCTACGCACTCATTCCTAGTGCAATCAGATAATGTTGTCACAAACACAAACATATATTCTAATTAGATATCTATGAATGTAAACGAGTTACATGATTAATTGTAAGTACTTACGACATGTCCAAAATTAGTATTTTCAGTAATACAGGCACAAATCTTGAATGTATATGAGGTATAAAGGAAACCGGCCACTGCAAAATTTGAACATCTACTAAAAATTAGATACAAAATCAAATCATACTAAGGTCAAGTTAAAAATAAAGGCAAACTGGTTAGGTAGGTACATCAGGCGGATCTGCATGCTCCAGCCAATCATTATTCTATTGGTATGTACCTAATATTATTTTAAAAGTTTTTTTTTCATATCTCGCTTCGTGTTTAGTTAATGAATAGTGATGTCAGGATTGAAACAATCTGAATCGTCTTCCTTATGAGTATCAATATTTTTTGTTTTTTTTTCGGACTACTCTAATGCTGTTGGCCGCAGATGGCCAACAGCATTAGAGTATACATATAGCTTCACCAGACGATCTGCTCATATTTTTGAAGCCGACAATAACCTAGTACTGAAGGATTAGAACAATCTGAACCGTCTTCCGTATAAGTATCAATATTTTTTGTTTTTTTTTCGGACTACTCTAATGCTGTTGACCGCAGATGGCCAACAGCATTAGAGTATACATATAGCTTCACTAGATAATCTGCTCATATTTTTGAAGCCGACAATAACATAGTACTGAAGGATTAGAACAATCTGAACCGTCTTCCGTATAAGTATCAATATTTTTTGTTTTTTCGGACTACTCTAATGCTGTTGGCCGCAGATGGCCAACAGCATTGTATATTATATACATAAGAACACCCAGATCGATACTAACAATCATAGTCATGTTTGTACCGTGCGAGGATTCGAACCAACGGACGGAAGGCGGTGCACATCACCGCTATACCACCGAGGCCGTCAAACTGATGATATAATAATAGAACGTTCATAGTTATTAATTTATTTAATACATATTGCAGATGAAACATGGTATAATTTGAACACAAACAAGTTACGAGAAGGTAACAAAACATTCAGGGCCATTTGCTTAGAGTTATTTTCTTTTTGCACTTGTCAGTCTGTCTGTTGCAGGTTCTTTTCATGAATGTTTATTAGTTTGTCAACGTCGTTCAGTATTAGTGTCCATAACATCAACAACTCTGTCTTTGTTCAGTGTATTTTTCTCTTGATCCAAATCTTTCTTCAATATAAATCCAAGTCTATAACAAATATATTTATTTATTTATTTCAGGATTTAGTAGCCTTATATAGCCCATATTATAAATACCTTATAGTCTAACATACAAAGAATGTGGATGAATGTAAAGGGAGGGGACGATAATCGACAATGTCCTGTTCCTTAGTTACGTAATGTAGACAGGTATATATGTATATTTATGATGTATACAATTCAGTTATATTTAGTTTCGCTTATACTAATTAATTAATAATAAATGTAATACACTTTTGCTATAGTTTCTTCTTAATTAAAGCACAAGATAAATAACAATTAAACATTTCCGTGAAGTAAATTCAATTCATTTTAGATGACAACTGCCGGCACCTAGGGATGACTGTTGCAAGGCATCACCCCACAACCAGGCCCCTGGAGGCGCGCGCGTGTACCCACGCGCCTCCACGAGATGGTAGGGTGCAAGTCATAGCACCCTAACCAGAGAGAGGGGGCCTGTCCTACAACATCTACAGGACAGGCCAAGCCGCCGAAGTCTGGGTTGAGTGCCAAGTGCGAGCCCCGGACTTCGGCCCGCGGCACCTCGAGGTATACCGTGTGGTTTTTTAGTGGGTACGAGTCCCACACACCACCTAGCCATCCCTCCGGCGGGGTGACGGTCTTGTTGAAGATTTTTCCACACGTTAAAAAAAAAAATTAAAAAAAAAAAGGGCTGACTGTTGCAAACAAAAAATATAGCCTATGTGTTATTCTGATTCATAGACTATATTACTGTTAAGTTTCATCAAAATCCGTCAGTAGTTTTTGCATGAAAGAGTAACAACCGTCCATACTCACAAACTTTCGCGTTTATAATATTACTAGCAGTGCCTGCGATTTCACCCGCGTTAAATTCCAATATATAAGTTTTAACACAACATATAGTGTATGTGTTATTCTGAAGCATAAGCTACTTTACTGTAAAATTTCATCAAAATCCGTTTAGTTTTAGGGTGTAAGAGTAACAAACATCTATACTTACAAACTTTCGCATTTATATATATATTAATAAGATTAAGATAATTTACCTAATTGTGAAGAAATAGATAATCTCAATGAGGCTGAGAGCAGAGAATCCAAGGAAGAGTCCAAGCAAGCCACCGCAGTTGGCCAAGAAATCAGTCAGTCCGAACAACTCCGATCGACGCATCGACGCAAATCTTGGCTCTTTAAAGTGAATATCAATTTGAGAATAATCATACCTGAAACATTGGCCATCTATATATTAAAATAAAATAAAATAAAATGCAAAAAGCAACTGTGTGATTTATTTATTTACTAGTTTTTTCCCGCGGCTTCGCTCGCGTTAATTTATCCCTTAAGGGTGGAATTTATCAAAATCCTTTCTTAGAGGATGCCTACGTCATAGTAGCTTTATGCATGCAAAGTCTCAGCCCGATCGGTTTAAAATTGACAAAGTTTCATACAAACTTTGATCCCCTATTTTATCCCCTTGGTAGAATTCACCAAAATCCTTTCTTAGCGGATGCTTACGACATAACATCTACCTGCATGCCAAATTTCATCCCGATCCGTCCAGTGGTTTGGGCTGTTCGTTGATAGATCACTATGTCAGTCACCTTTGAGTTATATATATTTAGATTTAATTTGGGAGAGGCCTATGTCCAGCAGTGGACGTCTTCCGGGCTGCGATGATGATGATGATGAGATTTAATTCGGATTACATCCATATTGTGTGAGTAAAGAACTTATAAACTATGTTAATGAATTATAATATACAGAAATATACACTTAATTCATATATCTTTGTCCACGTCCAGAAGCACTGGGTCCGCAACGATGTCCAGTGCCTCTGCAGCGGACGTCCGAGTGTTATAGTGACCTTGGCCAAATATATATCATAGGGGGACTATCATCTGGATGAATGGCGGTCTTCCACAGCGCGGTTTTCTAGAAACTTTTTACCTCGCACCACCACATTGTAGAATCACCTTCCAGCAATAGTATTTCCGAACCGATACGATATTGAAACCTTCAAGAAAGGAGCTTATTCCTTTTTAAAAGGCCGACAACGTACTTGCAATTCCCCTGGTGTTGCGGGTGCTCATGGGCGGCGGTAATCACTTACCATCAGGTGAGACGCATGCTCGTTTGTCCCCTGTGTTATAAAAAAAAAACTTTTTTTGGCAGGTAGCTGATGTAATAAGAAGTAAGTTAGTCTACTTTTATTTTAGAAAATAAAGTTAAATTCCATGCGGACGAAGTCGCGGGTACAGCTATAAAATATATAATCAAGTATTTTTTTGTCTCTTATGCTTACAATAATGTATTGAATTGTAAATTATTACTTATCAATGAGTTCAGATAGATTAAGATCATATTTTTTTTCAACTTGTTTAATAACTGAATTGAAATTGAAGTCAGTCTTAAGGATTTCGGCATCGTAAGATATAGCGTTACATGTTGGCAGACATGAACAAGGATCTGGTTCATTTTCAACAAAATCTTCAATTATTTCATCGGCGAATTGTTCTGCAAAAGAAATTACATTAATATTTAATTAATTGTGATTAAAATTAGGTCAATAACTTAAATTATGAGGAACTAATTGTCAATCAAAATGTATAGGATTATTGGTTACACACTTCCACAATTTAGGGCGAAATAGGACGCCCTAATAACGAGATGGGGCCTGCCCAACACCATATACGGTGAATTAATGCCGCAGGAGTCGTTAGTAGTTATGCTAACATGACCTTGTGACTCCGTCAATTGCGCTAGTAGGTACCCTTGTGATTTTTTAGTGGATAAGATATCCATACATCACCCATCACCTCTCCGGAGGACATACTGCTGACTATATGTCGACGTTATAAAAAAAAATATTGGTCAGGAGATTGCGAGTATAAGTAATGTAAAAAAACCTCAAAAAAGTGTACCTGTAAAAGATAAAAATGAAAAATAAGAAGAAATTGAACAAAAGATAGACGATGAAACGTAAAAGAAAATGGAAAAAATAAAAGAAAACTCCCATGATTATGACATAATGACACAAATATTTTATAGCAATATTTACCTACAGTTTCTTCGACGCAGTCCAATTTCTCTATTGTACAAATTGATGCACTGTCGTTATCTATAACATAGAGGTTTTATTTAGAATATTTTATGCAATTCGGTGTTATTTTAAGGAAGTTCATTTCACTACTTAATGAATTTATATTAATTTGTTTAATTCCGTTTCAATTATCATGTGTGAGATAGCGCGGTTTGGTCGACGAACAATCAACACTAGGCTTCCAAGCTATATCTGAAGTCTATTTAACGCTTGATGATGTCTCGTTCAAAGGCGAAACACGTGCAGCAATATGAATACGGTCGGAATTTGATCACCGTTAGAGAAGGTCGTAACGGTAGTCAAGTTTCCACACTGAATATTTGTGTGTTTTAGCGAAATGCAAGAAAATAATATAAATCAATTAAGCAATTTAATTTAGAACGTATTACATATATGACAGCGTAAATAATATATCTTACGAACATACGTGGCATATGAAACCAAACGCATCCACATTTCTCCAATGTATAATTGGCTTGACATTCTAGCCTACAGTTTCTTGATGTGTATATTTTGAAATAACGTAAATGTCTTTCATTCTGGAAATAACATTGTCGTCTGCAAGTAAAAAAATAAAGTATTCATATCAATATTATAAACGCAAAAGTTTTTGAGTATGGATGGATTTTAGTAACTTTATGTCCGTGTTTTATTTAATCTAAAGGAAGATAATATTTACGTAGATGACATTATACATCATTTGATAATTGTAATGAAATAATCAGATTTAAAAAAAGTATTAGTTTTTACTCACATCCAATACGTAATAACAATTTAACAGTAATTGGAATAACGTCAAACACACAATATAAATCTGAACAAATATTGTCACCCAATATATCGTAGATTATACTTACACTTCAGGGCTGTAATTTTCTAAACTCTTAGACGTGCTCATCATACTAAACTTTAAGGCCACAGATGATACTTGACCAGGTAATGACGCGTAGTAATACAGCGATGACTGTGGATGATCAGCTGGATGTTGTACGAAAATCTACGAAACAACAAGTCATTACAATAAGACAAATCAATGTTTGGAGAACTGTATATTGTTTGATGAAACTCGCTTTAAATAAATTAATTGCTGTCTATTTTGTTTCTTGTTATCTTGTACATCGATATAATTGACACTTCATCCTAAAATACATCCTGTATTTTAGAATGAGGTGTCAATTATATCGATGTATATATAAAAAAAATATAATATTTATTAATAGTGATTTTCATGTATAATGTTCCACAAACTTGACTGATCTGACCCGGTGACAGCGCCGCTGTTTTTACGTCCTATACAACAATAAACTTGATATGAATATCATAATTCAAAAGAGCGACATTCAATGCAATTTAGGGCCACCGGGACTGATTAATTTGTGGACTGTTCTAACATAATTATTATAGTAGATAACTTACTTTGGACCCCTTGATTCCACCGTTACAAGTTTCATCAGGATCTTCTTTGGGCATTTGAAGTATGACTGTCAGATCATAAACGGACCCTGAATTCTAAAACGTAATTAAATTACCTACATATGTAAAACAATTTATAATTCGAAAATTAATTATATATCAATGTTAAGAGAGATGATAAGCAAAGACAAGATGGAAGAAATGCAAAAGATGATATGCATAAATGGAAAGTAAGCTCAGATATGACAGCTGATAGGAATCAGTGAAAGAAGATTAAATACTGCGTCGATCTCAAATAAGGGACAAAAGCAAGGTAATGACGATAACATGTTAATGTATTACCACTCCCCGACGTGGATAAGGCAGTCGATCTTTTGAATATCCTGTATCCAAACTCCAACCTTTACTTGGTGTCGAAGCGTCACTGTAGTTATACTCCTTCTGAATGCTAAAATTATTACTCCAGTATATGATTTTTTTAAAGAATCCTTTATTTAGCAAAGTACGCTGTTATAGACACTGATGGTGCATCTCAAAATATATGCACGCATTTATCTATATTCATGGCTATGAGATAAATGCATGTGTGTATTTTGCATATTAATTATCCTAAATCTAAATTCTGTCCTAATTCGTTCCAAATTCTAAATTCTGATTCTACAGACTAATTCAAAGATCGTTGTACACTAGGTTTGATCACATATTTGGAAACTTTTCACCAGAGTCTATAATAGCTTTTGGTGAGCAATTGGCGCTGTCAAACATACTTCGTGAATATTCAAAAGTATATGAATATACTTCTTTAAGATCAGCATTGAAGGCATATTTGGACGCTTTGATCTGCGTTAATGCTCACTGACAAATATTTGTTCAAAGCTTGCACAAATATCCGTATCAAACATTGCTATTTCATTCATTCACATTCATTTACATTTGCGTATTTAAAACTATATGCAGACCTTCTGACAAGGTTACTAGTTCAGCCAGTGATACACTTAGTTTTGATATAAAATCCCTCATCTGTATTAAAGACTGTACTGATTATGAAACTTTTAGTTACTTACTTTTGCTCACGTAATATTTCATTAGCAGCTAATGAATTGAAGTTAAAACATACACCATGTTCAGTTAGCACAGTAGAAAACATCTCACTGCAGTCAATATCACCACGCCAATTACAGTTGAAAATGTATTTAGAAGCTGATGGAGATACCTGTAATTTTTTTTATTACAATCAAACCAGTAGCTTAAATAATAATAAGAAATAACCCTGGACAATTAACACAGCGCCATCTAGTCCCACGATAAGCAGAACTTGTGTTATGGGTGGACGATTATGTTATGGGTGGATGAACAACTGATGTGAACACTTAAATATTTTTTGTATATAATACTTCGTCCGCGTGTGTCCTTGACCAATTACAAATAATAAAATATTTAATAATCTAACCCAAACATTTTTTAGCATTTTAGCTTCAAAAATGACGATTGTCCATACAGACTGTCATAATAGGGGTATTTCACTATACTTCTTAAGTTATTAATATTTAATCATGTTTATTAATATTTAATGAACAGCCCAAACAATAATTTCAAAAATATGATACCCCTTACAAACCTTTTTTCTTTGTTTATATTTAATCATCAGCCTAAACATTAAATTTCGAGCTTCTAGCTTTAAAAATTATGATACTTTCATACAACCTTTTTTCGCATTAAAAAGTAACCTTTCTTCAGGTTACTTTTTAATGCGAAAGGACCCTGAGAAAGGACATATCTTCCTAAGAGTCTAGCTCTAGACTATCTATGTGCCAAATTTCATTTAAATCGGTACAGTAGATTTTGCGTGAAAGGCAAACAGACAGAGAGAGTTACTTTGATATTTATAATTTTAGTAAAGAAGTAAGATTAGTAAGAATTATTGTATACAATAATATACCTCCAATAAATTCTTGATAATAGTAACATTACCCGCATCTCGGTTCAGATTAAAACGAGGATATATTTGTTGTATGTTACAAATAAGTGCTATATCTTGTATCTTTTCCATTGCTCGCATGATATCAGCAGACAGATTGTTATGGATGTAACTGTAACCAAAAATAATATTGTTTAAACATTTCGGAAATTTCTGAAAAATGTAATGATAGTCCTAGAAGTCCGTACTGTAGTCAAAATGTAGAAGAAGACAAAGAAGGAGGACTGTAACAATATTAAAATTAATTAAAAAGATTTAGTATAGTATCCTCATCATCATTGCCTTGCCTTTATCCCATTATTTGTGGTCGGCGCAGTACGTCATTCTCTTCCACTGCTCTCTATCGGTCGTTACATCTGAGCATACTCTTCTTTGATCATATAATCTTTCACACAATCCATACATCTTTTCTTAAGGCGTCTCCTCCCTTTACATCCATCTACATTCAGGTTTAGTATAATATATACCTTCTTAAACAAACCCCATGTTGTCGTCCCTAGAGAAACGTGAAAAATATAATATTTTTTTGAATTGTGTAAAATTTATCTAAAATGATCATTAACTTAGCTTTGCTTCAGAGACAGCATGGAGTTCCTGATAAAGGACATTTTAATTTATAGTTTTGAAGTCGATAATCTTTTCTTATTATTCATCATCATCATCATCATCATCATTTCAGCCCGGAAGACGTCCACTGCTGGACAAAAACCTCCCCAAAGATCTCCACGACAATCGGTCCTGAGCTGCTCGCATCCAATGTCTTCCAGCGATCTCGACCAGATCGTCGGTCAATCTTGTTGGAGGCCTACCCACGTTGCGTCTTCCGGTCCGTGATCGCCACTCGAAGACTTTATTGCCCCAACGGCCATCTACGGCCATCCATATTATTATTCAGAATAATAGAAAATATTACAAAGAATTAATTAACGTACTCATCAATACAAGACTTATTATTATATTTTGATATTTCCTCTGAATAATTGTATGCGGACGCTCGATTTTTGATGTCCGGACATATTGTTACAGACGGGAAGGGAACCTGTAATGACAAATTAAAACACGATAATAATATGATATATATATGCATTGTAAGTAAGTATGTACTATCAACAAATTAGATGATATATCACCACACAGAGGTGGTCAAACTGATGGGTTATTACTATATTATTATTATTATGAGCGGTTGATTTAAAAAAAAAAATTTAGTTTAGTTTCGTTTATTGACCAATGTAAAAATATCTTTACATATATGGCAAGTCATAATCATAATATACGATTATAAAATTAAAATTTGATTATAATTATGTTAATAATAAAATAAAATAAATGAATTACGTACACAATATCCGGTATAGCTAACTATAATACGTCATAATAATGTTTAAAAATCATAATTACGGTATAATTACATTTTGATACATATATTCTGTAATATTATAAAAACGATGTTTTTCAATTTAAATGCTTTTTGGGGTAATTGTCTAATAGTAATAGGTAACTTATTATATATTTTCATTTTTAAAGTAATGCCTTGTTTAAAAGTTTCATCAAGTCTTTTTTTTTGCAATTGTTATTATCTTTATTTCACGTGTGGTAATTTTGATTATCCGAAATCTTAGCTCATTTCTTTCATCGTGTACTTTTATTAAACTGTGTTAGATGTATAATGAAATTGCAGTCATAACTTTTTCTTTTATATAGTGTGGTCTGGCTGATATGCGTTTGTGGAGACCACAAATAATTCTTACGGCTCGTTTTTGCTGCTCGACTATTTTGTTTACATCGCTAGCGTTTCCCCAAATTGTCAATAATTAAAGATTGGATGTAAGCATAATATACAGACTTTTTATGAACTAATGATTTTAATTTGCTTAAGGCAAAATTAGCTGACGCGAGTTTCTTACACAGTTTTCCGAAATGCGATTTATGGCTCAATTTATTATCAATAGTATATCCAAGGAAAGTTGTCTCTTTACTGCAAGATGTTGGCTTATATTTCCTATGTATGATTTGTTGGTAGTGTTATATGTTATAATAACATTTTTATCTGTATTAAGTACAATTCCATTTGATTTAAACCAATCATTTAGAATAGTAGTGACCGAGTTTACTTCATGTTCTAAAATGTTTTTAGTTTGGGATCTTACGCCCACGTGTGTGTCATCGGCAAATAATGTTACAAGGCTATTTGGTGGCAGATTTGCCGGTAAATCTAATTAAAATATATATTAGAAATAACAGGGGACCAAGAATAGAACCTTGTGGTATTCCTATGTAAAATTGTGCTTTCTGTGAAACAATATTATTCACCGAAACTACTTGAGTTCTATTACAATTAAAATTCTATTTATATATATCTTACCATCTCAACAGGTACAAACTTCTCACTAAAACTGACTATAACTGGACTCGATTGCCATTTCATCCAAACATTGCTTATTAAATAGAAGCATAGAGCTACACTCAACGTGAATGTCAGCAGCCAGAATAATCTGTAAACATAAATATATGCCAATGGTTAATATTGCTGAATTAATACTGCTGAATATTCTTTAATATATAAGATCCGCTTTGTGCAAATACATAATTTTGTAAATAAACATTCATTTTTACTCTCAATCACAACCTCACCGAGGTCTAGCACACCACTTTAATTCCGATGGTCGCGGGTTCGATTCCTCGCACAATGCAAATATTTGTATTGATTGATGGGTTCGTTTATTTGTATCGGTCTGGATGTTTTCTACAATTATTATAAATGTATTTATAAAAAAATCTATTTATTTATATCAGTTCTCTAGAACCCATAACACAATCTCTGCTTACCGTGGGACTAGATGGTGCTGTGTTAAATGTCCAGAGGTTGTTTATTTTTTATTTTAAATTCTATTTTCTAATTAATTTTTAAACTATTTATTTGAATTATATATCTGAAGTATGACTATTACAAACAATTACAAAAAACAATCATTGTAATCCAACGCGGCACATCGAGGCAGCGTACCCAAGATACTGGCAGCGTTGCCTCTTTGAATGGCCATACTTAGCCCTTGGGTAAAGTAGCTACTAGCTCTCGGGACACAAGTAACCTCGATGACCCACCCTGAAATATCACTAATATTAATATTTTTAATTAATATTTAATTCACCTCACTTACTTCTCAGCAATGCTAAGTCCTTTCTGGGTAACATATCTCAGTCCATGCAGCGTCGTGTTCTTCGCGTAGTCCAAAAGCAGACTCTTCACCAAGCCCTTCTGCCTTTTCCTACGTTGTTTCCATAGAACATTTTTGGTGTTGGCTTGAGGAATATTTTGCCTAAAATGTAACCTCAAATTTTGTTAAGAAATGTTTTTTTTTTCAAATGAAATTAATATAAGCACTTCGAATAGTTCTTTTTTTATTCCATCTCCACACGAATGGACAATTTTTTCGATTATTATTCGAGTAACCCTCGGCTTCATACGTATGTACGTAATGTACTTTTTATTACAAGGTTTGGGCTATTACTAGGTGCTTAGACCTGTAGCATTGTAAGCTGCAGATATCTCATGTTTGTCAGCTTACTGTCACAGCATATGCTAAGGTTGTGCATGCAAACTCAGACGATTTTGTCTAAGTAACTTGGCTGGAGAATAGATGGATGTAGTAGACTAAACATTAATTGCAAACAATATGCCTCACACTCAACTTAGCGTATGCTGTGACCGCTTATCGTCATAGCATATGCTAAGATTATGCAAGCAAATTTTTCTCCACAAAAACATACATAATATAAATTGAAGCAGAGCCTTTGAGGCATGCAAAATTAAAACACGAGATATTACCACTCAGACGATTCTGTACAAAGCATAAGTAACATGGCTGGAGAATATATAGATGCAGATAGATTAAACATAGATAATAATAATAATGATATACTTACTCCATTATATAATGTTTGTGACACGTGTAATCAGGACAACGTGCACTAAGCAACTAATACATTGACATGAATAATGCTCATTTACAATAAAATTAGGTTAAGAGCTTTCACAATTAACAATTACCGTTTCAGAGAGTGCCATTTGGGAATATAACGAGAACCACACCTATATGAACGATTATAGGGTATAAATTAACACCAGTGGGTTTATTCTTCACGGCCTTTGCAGACGAGATACGATTTTTATTCAACGGAATTAAAAATTATTTATTTTATTAATATAAATTTTATTTAGTTCTACATAGTCATTGAAGCTTTAATCTATGCATATAAATAAAATTGGAGTATCTGTTTGTAATATTGAAATAACCGTGTTTTACTACATGCATATGAATATAAATACGATACATCAAAATAACATTTTTTACAATTTTTGGCTGTCTGTCTGTCTGTTTGATCCGGTTAATCTCTGAAATGCCTGGACTGGTTTTGACGGGACTTTTTTTGGTAGCTGATGTAATAAAGAGTAACTGAGGCTTCTTTTATTTTAGAAAAATAAGGTTAAATTCCACGCGGACGAAGTCGCAGTTACAGCTAGTTAAGCATAAAAAGCGTGCCCCAGGAGGCTCCACTCTAAAGTAATATATAGAATTTTAAAATATATCTAATTTATAAACTTCAAATAAGCACTTGATTAACTACCTAATGATAAGTTGTTATAATTACCTATACATTTTGATATGTCAACTAAATAGCAAACAAGCTGACAGCTCAACCTGATGGTATGTGGTCTCCATTTATTCTTAATTGAAGATAATGGAAATGTGCACCCATCTGCACTAATGGCATAAGCTGACGGCACCAGTGGAGAATAATAGGATGAGCATTAGGTCAGATCAGTTAGCCCATCGTGGCAAATTTACCAGGAATTTATAGCTTCCTATCGCTTCATACCGCCATGTTGCCTGAATGAAATTGCACTAAATATTTGTAGGGTGTATATAAATCTATTAAGTAATATAATGAACTTCCGCCAATTATTTTTTGATAAAATGAATGACGTCTAAAATTTAAATAAATTCTACCTCGGAGACTTTTGTTTGATTTATTTTTCGGACTACTCTAATGCTGTTGGCCGCAGATGGCCTTTACAGCGTCACCGGACGATAGGGGGCGAGTGCAGATGGCACTCTAAACCCGCGGAAGGACTTATGGAGCAGCTGAAGGCCAACTCCCGCCTGACGGATACAACTTTAGTCTGAGGGCACTGCTAGTCCGAACCTCGGCTCAGGCCATCGTAATATCGGTCCCCGTTTGAATTGGACGGGGGATCGATCGAAGGGGCGACCGGGGGCGCCGGTGTGGAGCGCCTGGGCGCGATATAAGGTGTAAGAGGTTGTCGTCTTCGCCGGCGAGGACGGTGTCGTGTGTGTGTATAAAAGTGTGGTCGGGGTGGGCTTTGGTTTGAGATAATACATGTTCAAATGTTGACAAATCTTCAAATAAATATATAGTAACTCGTCTGCACCGGTTTCCCTGGTATTTAATTAACATCTAACATGTTGCTAATTAGTTGACATAAATAAGTAATTGTATTATTACAATAGATTTATGACCAAACAGCTCATTACTTTGTCTTCCATTGTCACAAGGGTTTTCATACCAAATAATGGAATGTAGTACTTTTTTTTTCGTATACTCTGGCAGGGCACCAGTGGAGGATGGTAGGAAGCAGATGACGTCAGTTCATTTAACCCTGGTAATCCAGGAGGAATTGTGTGGAGGTCAACCTGACATGTTAATCCCAATGCTAGCAATGAGCAATGGGGTTATTAGTCAGCATTAATTAATAATTTCCTCTTCCCAATATAAGTAGATTGCCATAAGTAATCATTTGAAATTGTGAATAGATGATACTAGGAGATTATATAGTATTTGCTTAAAGTAACTGTCTTTAGCCTTAAATTAAAGCAATTCTGTTTACATTTTGCTCGAACATATCAATTCATAAATTTAAACAAAACTTAGTATAGTTTTGTTTAAATTTATGAATGTCTTTCTCTTAATTTTTATAATATAAAAATTACGTGTCACGTTGTTTGTCCACGATAGACTCATAAACTACTAAACCGATTGGAAATTTGATTTACACCTTGTGTACAATTTGATCCAACTTGAAAGATAGGATAGCTTATATGTCAATTTATAGTCGCAATATTATTTTATTCAAGAACCTTAGCCACTAGCCTGGTCTGCTAGTTTACTCTTATTTCCTTACATTTAAGAATGTCTCTATCTTAATTTACTTATGTTTCCTTAAAATCATAAACGTCTTTGTCTTAATTTACTTGAATTTCCTTAAAAAGAATGTCTCTATCTTAACTTATTTATATTTCCTTAAATGTAACGCTATCTTTATCTTAATTTACTTGAACTTCCTTAAACAGAATGTCTTTACCTTTACTTACTTAGATGTACCTAAATTTAAGGCTATCTTTATCTCTAGTTACTTACAGTTCCTTAAATTTAAGTGTCTGTCTTTATGTGTCTCGTATTGTCAATAAAATAATCAGCCATTCACGATTTCAAATTATTACATCAACACACCGCCTAGTCAAACACTTGGAGGTCTGTTTGCACTGCGGGCGAGTGCTCAAGCGAGTCGACTGGCGCGTCACGGTAGCGCTCAGTTGTTTTGACAGGCTGCTGAGCAAACTACGCCTCGAGAGCAACGGGATAATTGTAAGCATTGTCGGTGGATAGGCCAGTGATGGACGGTAAGTTTTTATAGTTTTATCGATAAAATTACATACTTTTTTAAGGTTGCATATCCCAGGCGTTTCTTCATACAAAATGTTCTACACTCAAAATTTTCTACAATTACTAATTAAAGTTAATGAAATTATATAGACACTAGTCGGATTTTCTTTAAACAAGTTTGTTTTAGAATTACATGCAACTGAAAACACTCTGAGGATTATAGGGTGCGAGGAATCGAAACCGCGAAGTGGAAAGCGGTGTGTTGTACTCTGTGAGGAATCTATGACCATTGAAAGTAAAGTGGTGATGATCAGATAGATCACCAAGACCGTCAAATATAGGAGACGATTCTTCCTTACCACTTTGTGTACCATCAAATAAAATCTCATAGAACAAAATATAGGTAAGATAAAGTCACATCACTAGACCATAACCTATACAAACACTCGATACTAAGTACAGTTTTGTATGATCGATGATGGTAGCGAGCCCCACTAGTTAATCGTGTTTACAGAACCAACACTTGATATCGACATTTCTAAATCCACGGGTGGCCCGGCTACTGTTTGTATTTGGCCTCAGATGTGAATGCAGCATCGTCTATAATTTAAACAACACTTAAATTTTTAATTCAGCGCCATTCTATAATACACTTTACGCTTATGTGTTTAGAGTTGTTATTTTTGGTGCAATTAATGTTTTCTTAGGTGTGCCGTGTGGGGTTTTATTTGACGAAACAATACCTTAGTTAAATAGTGTCTACTTGTACACTACGCTTTTGTTAACTGTGTTAACATAATTTGGCAGGATAATATTTTTTTTTTATTTTCGAAGAAACGTCTATAAGTATTACATAGTTACATAACAGCCAGCGCAGAGTACAGATGTGAAAGATTTTCGTCCAGTGCCCATTCTTATTATTTAACATTGTATAAAGGTTTTACTGTTAACAACTATCATATGATAATTCTATATAGCTATGACGTGGTCGAGTCTCTTAAGTAGTCAAACTCACCAAAATGTCTAGACATGTTCCGGTATGGTGGGCCGCGTCATTGGCCTGCCTAAACTAAGCTCTAGTGCAGCGATGGCTGGCTCAACCGTCATACTCGTGAAAAATTGCTGCTTATAGGGACTTCTCTGCTCTAATTACTACGACTGATTTACTATTTAGTTACTCAACCATTTCTAACAATTGAGTTTTTCATCATTGTATTCACAAGAGATACGAATTTCTTAGCTTTCTTGGGTTTCACAGTGCGGGTGCCGGGTCCATCATGTGGTAGAGAGAGAAACTCCGACCAGTTTCAAGGACCCCTGCCGTACGGCAATACAAATTCCTTTTTGTTACTAATATTTGTTTTTTATTAAACTTAGACTTGCCATCATCAACGAATGAAGGGTCGTTATTTTTATAATGTGTAATGTATTATATATTCTTAAATTATATTATACTATATACATGTGTTATATATATAAACCTTCGTCTAGAATCACTCTATCCATTAAAAAATAATCGCTTCAAAATCTGTAGTGTTGTTTTAAAAATTTAAGCATACATAGGGACAGACTGCGACAGTGACTTTATTTTATACTATGTAATGATGATATTGATTTGGTTGACACAATATAGCTCTCAGTGGTGATCTCACTGTACAATACCTCACCCTCTCCTGGTTGAGGGTTCGATTTCCGCTTAGTACAAATATTTGTGTCCGAGAGTATGTAAATATTATAGTAGTATATAAATTGATATAAGTGCCTCTTTTTTGATAATATATGTATATAAACTACTAGCTGTTTCCGCAACTTTATCCGTGTGGAATATAACTTTATTTTTCTAAAATAAAAATAACTAAAACACTTCTTATTACATCAGCTACCTGCCAAAAAAAGTTCCGGCAAAATCGATCCAGCCATTTCAGAGATTAGCCGGAACAAACATACAGGCAGACAAAAATTCTGAAAAAATCCCCTGCCATAACGGTTTCCTCTGCCAGGGAACTAGAATGATAAAATGAACGTGAGGTGAGGTCAGTCAGCCCATCTTGGTAAATTGACGATGGTTTCCAGGGTGAATACGTGGAGGTTTTTTTAGAGGATGAAAATAGAATGGGTACCCGCCTGCGCTAACGGTTTACGCTGGCGGGGCACCAGTGGAGGATGATAAGATGAACATGAGGGCAGGTCAGTTAGCCCATCGTACAAATTCACCAGGAATTTATCACAATGGTTTCCAGGGGGG